ATTTAAAAAGTCAATGCTAGAATATAGTTGGGAAAAAATCAAATACAAATATTATAAATATAGTCATTAAAAATATTGATTGAGGCTTATAAAGTTATAAGTAATTTAAATTTATATTAGATAAACAAAATAGAATGAGAAAATATTTCATTTTTAATTATCTCATTCTATTTTTCGCTTCATCTAATGCAAATTTTAATTGATTATAATTTAATAAATAATTCATATACTAGACATATATCATTTTTATGTTTGTTTTAATCTCTAAAATGGATTCTGTAAGATATCCTACGAATATATTAATATTCATACCTTATAATAGATGCTTGTAATATCATCATAAGAAATCCATTCTTTATCTTTATAAGCATAAGGAACTTTGCTTTCGAGTTCAAAAACACTTTCTGCACCATTTCGAAGAAATTCACAAACTGTAGGATAAGAAACAAAACCCATATTTCCTAATTTACCGAAGCCATTTGCTGGTGCAAGTAAACCATGATTCAGCGAATTATCTAACCTATAAGTATGGCCATAAGTAGGAATTCCAATAATTAATTTTTCTCCTGGCATCCCTTTTGAAAGCCAGTAATGAACCGAAAAATTAACATTTAGAGTAGAAAGATAACCAGATTCAGCAGCACGTGAGAAAAGAGGCGCATTAAGTCCAGTAATTGGATAATACCATACATAAAAATGGTAGTCATATGACATCAAATTCACAAAATCTATGTACCTAAATAATAAAAATTTATATATAAATATATGAATATATAAATTATTTTTTTATATATTTTCCAACACACATATATGCATAAATATAATAGAAAATATGAGTAAAATAATTTTATTATTATTAAAAAATGAAAATATTTTTTAAAATATCTATTATAATTGTTATTAATGAAAAACTATTAATTTATTGAAAACTAATTATGTAGAATATTCATATCATAAAAAATAATATATCATTTGCTTACTTTGCCATTTCTGTAACCATATAGCTTTGATCAACAATAGCTTGTGGAGCAGCTACTGCAACAGAAAGAATTAATGTTTCTTTTGCTCGGTAAAATTCTTTTCGTAATTCCTCTAATAATTGTACAAAACGAATTTTTTCTCGTTCATCAGCTCCAAGCCATGCAGGAAATTCCCAATCTAAATCTAGTCCATCAAAACCAAATGTTTTTGTTACATTTAAAACTGATTTTATAAATCTATAAAATAAAATTAAATTAACATTTTGAATACATTTACATCTAAATAAAATTAAAATAAAATAAAAGAAATTACCTTTTCCTATTTGCATGATTTTTTACCATTTCTGAAAAACCTAAGTGGAGCTCATTATTGCCGCCAACACTAATCATGACCCTTAATTCAGGTTGAACCTTCTTCAAAGCAATAACTTCTTTATAGATTGATGAATTATTACCCAAATTGAGACTACAATTTACCACGCCCGCAAAACCCACGATAATATGCGTACAAAGATTAGGGTCAATGTTCGACGGACTGAGCTCCCAGAGCGTGTTCAGGTCGCTCGATATGGTGTAATAACAGACAATGATCTGCCTATGAAAAAAACAATTTTTATTATTTATAATATTATTTCTTACTATTTAATTCTTGATAATAATAAAATAATATTTGTAATTTTTTGTTGAAATATATATGGTTCAAAGATAGTATTTTTACCCTGAGGAATTGGTGTAGAAGTGTTGTGGCGAACTGATGCTGTTGTTCCTGTCCGCATTCTGGTTCTCCTTCGTCGATTCGGCGTACATCCGAGCCCGACGTAACCACGTAGCAACCTTGGCATTATCTGTTGTTTCTGTATCAACTGTTTCAGTTCTTGAAGAGTGAAGGATAATAATGCCTAACCATGCACGTGTTATAAAAAGAATTCCAAGTATCAGAGATATCAATACCAAGCATAAAATTTGTGTTCTCCAACGTGATCTAAAGAAAAAGAAAAATTCATATAAGATTTTGAATCTGAATCACTGTTAAATTTATGTTTCAACATATTAATGAATTCATAATTATATTGCAATATAAAAATAATTATAAAATGAATTTAATTAATAGTTTAGAATAAAATGATGGACATAAATTTTAATAATTGAAACTATATAAAATATTAATTTGTATTTATTTTATATATATTATATACTCTGTTTAATTTAGATTCTTATATCAGTAAATATAGAATAATCAATAACCACACCTGTAACTTCTGACATATTTATATGCTTATACTTATAATTTAGTATATAAAATAAAATGATATAATCAGAAATAAATATAAAATTATAAAATTCATTTAAGAAAAATTAAAATATAAAATAATATAAATATAAAAATAAATTGTACAACATTTAAATATAAAATAATCAAGTAATATTTTCTATATATATTTATATATATACAAATATAAAAACATAATAATAATAAAAATAATAATATTTAATTATATTTTTCATATAATTCAAGAAAAATTAAAATAGCAATTAATAAATAAGAAATTAATTGTTATATTTATACAAGTAATAGATAATTAAATTTATAAAAATAATTTATAATATATAATATATATAATATAATATATAATATAAAATTAAGTATAATATAATAATTTTATAAATATTTTTTTATTATATTTTTAGTCAAAATTATATTTCAAATAAAAAATTATAGAATTGTTAAATAGATTAAAAATTTATAAATATAATTTTATTATTATTATATAGTATATTATTATTAATCATATTTATATATATAAATTTATTTATTGATATATATTCTTTAGCGTAAAAATTATTTCATTTTATAATATATTATGATACTATATTATTATAGTAAATAAATTTTAACAACAATAAGATATAATAAAGAATGCTTTCAATAGTAAAAAAAATAATTATTACATTTAAAATGATTTATTTTTAATTTTTATTAAAAACGCATTTATTTATATATTTTTTAAAAAACAAGTTTTAATCTTAAATAATAAATATAATGTTATATTAATAAATGTATTGTATATATTAAAAAAAGAATAAATAAATTAAACCATTTTTATAGAATTTATTAATGAATATTAATAATTTTCATATATGTATTTAATAGAATACAATTAAATAATGAATTTATAGAATACAATTAAGATAATGAAGAATAAAAATAACTCACTGTCGAACGTCTGTTAACAATTCATATTTTGCCTGTGGCACGGGAATTTGGTTAACCATTGAACGTGTAATGTTCGTCAAAAGTGACGCTTGAGGACGCTAGTCCTCCAGTGAGACTTACTACTTTTATTACTACGCCCAACGCGATATTACTTATACTACTTATTATATATAATAATGAATATATATATCGATATGTAACCTAGAAATATGAAATCTGGACAGAATTTTACTGCGCATAACTTTGTTCACAAGAAAAAGCGGGAATATTTAAAATTTTCTTTTTTTTAATTAAAATAAATTCTTTTAATATTTAATTTTTATATCAAAATATATAATTTTTTTTTAATAAAAAATGTTTTTAATAAAATAAATAAAATAATAATGATACAAGAAATATTAAATATTTAATAATTAATTACTAGATATTAGTAGATATTATTAATTGTCATTTTGGTATTTAAAGGACAATAAGTATTGATGCTCTTTTTTATTTTTAACCATAAATTAGGAAATAAAATATAAATTATGAATTTGCAAGATTCATTTTTGGTACATATATTTTTCAGAATAAATATATTTTTATGAATAATCATAATAATTATAATCATAATATGTTTACAGATAAATATAAATTCAATATTTATAAATGTATACATGTATTATATATATTATTTTATATATTAGATTTTAGATATAATATTTTAATTTAATATAATATATTTAGTATTATCATTTCAAATACAATTTTTTAAGCATTAGAATATAGCATATTAAATATATATATATACATATGTTATATTATATTTCATAAAATTAAATTCAACAATTTTTTAAAGTATATTATTAAAAACATTAGAAAACTTAGAAAATAATTTTTGCTAATATGTTTTCATAGTTTTCTATTTTTCTATTTTTTTAAATAAAATTTAATATAAATAAAATCACAATTAATGAAAGACTATATAGATAGGATGTAAAAGAAAGATATAAATTTAAAATTCATATAGCATCAAATTTAAAGTTTGTTAAATATAAAAGTATATTTGCAAATAAAAATTAAATATATCATTAATCAGATTAAAATTATATAAAAAAATTAAAAATAATTTTTTTATTATTTAAGTACTTAAATAATTTAAGTATTTAATATAACAATTAAATATGATTCAACATAAGAAATAAATAAATAATTCAATACAAGAAAGAATAAATTTCCTCATACTAATTTTTTAATTCAAAAATAAACAATTAATATTATTATTTTAATTAAAAAATATAAAAGTTTTTAATTAAAATTACATAAATAAGGAATGTTTTAATATTAATGAAATTGTACGTTTGATATAACTTACATAAAAATAGAAGTAAAATTTTGCTATTTAGTAGAAAACAAATTTATTATATATATTATTTATTATTTATTATATATATTATTTATTATTTATTATATATATTATTTATTATTTATTATATATATTATTTATATTATATAATCACTTATTGAGTTCTATTAACTAATGCCTCATCTTCTAATTTAGCAAAACGTTTATAACGTTCTTGTGTTACTAAATAAACTGATAATCCACCAAAAAGAATTAATAACAATCCAATTACATTAATTAATATTGCTTCATGTACAAGCTTGGAATAGTTTTCTCTGAAATTGCATATTATGTAATAAATAAAATTTATGATTAATATATTATTTATATATATAGTTTTATTACAAAATATTGATAATAACTGATATAATACAATTATACTTACTTTAAAGCAAAAATTGCTTTTTCATTAAGTCCTAAAAGACAAGAAGTAATTACACCAATGAATCCTGCGATTCCAAAATATACATGAATAGGCATGTAAGAAGCTCGTAATGAAATTTGTAATTTTGGATATAAAAAAGAAAGAAATCCAGCAAGCCACTAAAATATAAAAATTTAAATATTTCAATTCTTAAATAGTATTTTTTAACTATTTTTTAACTATTTTTATTAAATAAAAAAGAAATAAAATTAGAATCATTAAATCAAATATGTATATATAGATAAAAAAAAATGATTAAAAATACCTGGCAGCAAAATAAAATTATACTAGTAAGTCCAATCCAACTATGAAGACTATACATATTTGGAATAGGTTTTGGATTTAAATTGTGGCTATCAAACACAGCTACAAGTGAAATTACAACTAATGCAATAGTTAATAACATTATGCTAGCATGAATTAATTTCAGTTTTTGTTTCCGTGCATTTCTTTGTGTTCTATATATTAGCATTCCTAAAAAAAATGAAAATAATTAATCAATTAAAAAAATTAATTTAGCTTTTTATCAACTTTTCAAATTATTGAATTATCAAAGATACCATTAGCATATAGAAAAACAAATCCTACAACCATTAAAAGGGGATGCCAATTAAATTCTAATTCTGGATTAGAATTCCAAGCGAAACCACCTCTATAATTACCACACCAAATTACAACTAAAATTATCAGAGTTACTCCAATGATTTGCATTAAAATAGTTAACGGTTTAAATCCCTCAAGATTTTCACATGATCTCTCTCCAATTTGCTCCATATCTAAAAATAATAATAATAATATTTAATTAATATTCTAAATTATTCTAAAGTAATATTGTAAAAATTAATAAATAAAATTCTGTATATTAATTAAATATAATATTAAATAAATATAAAATAAACTTTTAAAATAATCAACTTTTAAAAAACTTTTAAAATCAAAGATATACCTAAACATATCTGATATTGATATGGATAATTGATTGACATAATTTAATTAAAAAATTTATTCTTTATTTCATGAAGCATTAAATTTTCTATTTGTTTTGCTCAAATTTATTAATACTATTCATTTTTTAAATTATTGATCAATATATATATAAATCTTTTTTTTTTGCTTTTTAATAATATTCTATAACAATATTTTATTTAATTTTTATTATTATTATTATACTATTATTTTATTTTATTAAATTTTTATTAATTTTTATTAATTTAGAAGATAATTTTCTATTGTTTTATCATATATTAAAAAATTTTACAATATTTTAATATATAGAAATTTTTTTTAATTATATTTCATAAATTTATTTTAAAAATATATTACATTTTGATTTATAATACTATATTCACATATATAAGAGTAGATAATAAAGATAATAAACTTATTTCTTTATGATAATAATTATTTACTTTTTTTTTCTAATTTAATGTAAATATGATTATAATATATTTTATACTATTAT